CACATAATTGTTATCATTATTATTATCATGACTATTTAAATTTTATTTTACTCCACTTATTAAATTGTTCTTACCTCAACCTGCAAGCCTCCTCACCTTTACCCCTCCAATTCTCTCCCCTATTCCCTGGGTGGGGAGGGATGTGTCATGTTTGGCTGCCAGCCAAGTTAAATTATCACAGCCAGTTTTATTTTTTCCTGTAGCTGGCTCATCCCTTTTTAATTTTTATTTTTTCCTTCCCACTAGGTTGTTTTTGGTTTTTTTGCTGACTTGAGATCCAACATTGGTGGCCAGGCTTTTCCACAGTGTGTCTTTGATCACTGGCACATTGTGCCTGGAGATCTTTACTTTGCAAATTCTTGTCCTTGGCAAAGTGGTGGGTAAAACATGTCAGTGCAAAGGCTTGAAGGAGGGTATTTCACCTCTGGGTAACTCCCTAAGTAAGTTATAGTCACTCCTGTTTCATGCTGTGTGATGCACTGCCCAATTTTGTCCTCGTAGTGTTTCCTCATAAAACCAGGAAGGAAATGGAAAGTTTTTGGAGTAATACACACACACACACAGTGTTAACATGTTGTGATGATGGCATGATCACCTATTAAAAAAGGAAATAAAAATAACGTGTTAATTTGACTTAAGGGATTGTTGTCACCTGTATCTGGTCTGTGGTCACTGATGCCTGTGTCAAAAATACACATTAAAAACAAAAAAAACCCAAAAAAACCAGTTACCTAGAACTAATGGTGTTCTTTACAGTTTGCCTAATCCACAACTGTCTTCTAACCTAGGAAGCAGCTTCCTTGTTGTTGCTTTTGCAGAAATTCTGGTTGAACTCTCAGGTTTTCTCCTCTCAGCCAGAAGATGCACTCTTTCATTCCCAAGCTTGAATCCTCTGTACTCTTGAAGACTGATAGCAAAAGGTTTGCTGTGACAGGTAAGCTTTCTAGCATCCAGCACCTAGATTTAAAGGCAGATAATAGAAAATCCCAACTAATTTTGGAATTGCCTGAAATGCTGCTGGACAAGTGCAGAACCTCCTGGGGCTGGTGCTGAGCAGCAAGGTCCTGCCTTTGTGGCTCATGATTGTTTCAGACAGCTTCATCGGACCTGGAAGTATGAAAATTAGAAACCAGGCTGCAGGTGTATGGGTACAGCCTTTCTGTAATTGGTATTTTAGCAGCTGTTTCTCCTAAGGAAGCTCACTTATCTTCCAGCAAATGCAGAAAAAGACGTAGCAAATAAATGGGTGGACAAAAAGGGACAGCTCTTGCAGCGTGACTTCCTTTGCGTGGTGGTTATCTGTGCAGTAGAGGGACTTTGTATTAGTCTCATCAGCTTTACTTTCCTTCTGCAGTTGGTTTGTGAAGGTATCTTTTGATCTAGTCCACTCAAAGCAATAACCAGATAACTTCCATAGTGGAAACAAAGAGGTAAGAAGTTATCTAACTTTTTTCTTCAAAATTTTTCTTATGTTAGTAGTTCTTAGATAAAGACATTCTGACGCATTTTAGAACTTGTTGAAATTAAAAATAAACCAAAAAAACTCATCTACCTGCAATGGACAGGTTTGCTTAGAGCAGGGCTGGAGTGGTACAGACCTTGATTGAGTTGCAACCCCCAGTCCCCCTGTCCACCCAACACTGCTTAAATAAATTCTTTGTTGTCTTGTGGAAGGTGGAGTATCAAATGGGCAACACGACTGTGCTGCAGTACTCCCAGCTCCTCCAGATGCATCAGCCTCCAGTGAATTAAAGGATCTGAGCATTACACAAGCCTCGTAATTCCCTACTATGTGTACATCAGCACTGCAGGAAAACTACACTGGCCACCTCAACGCTTGCCTCACACCACAGGCTGTGCCAAACTTGCTGTCTGCTAAACAGGAAAGGCTCAAATGCCTTAAGTTTGCATTTGACGTTGCTGTCATGGGTCTAGAAGGCGTAAAGCCAACTGCAGCTGCAGAACTCCTGCCCAGAACAGCTGGAGAACACAACCATATCTCAGCCCTGATCACTAACTACTAACAGGGCACAATAATTAACAAAATTCCAGCCAGATTTTATACTACCATGAGTGGTTTAGAACATGTCCTAAAAATCATAGAGTAATTTTGGTTGGAAAAGACCTTTAAGGTCATCAAGTCCAACCGTAAACCTAACACTGCTGAGTCCACCACTAAACCCGTCTTTTAAGTGACTCCACCACTTCCCAGGAAGCCTGTTCCAGTGCCTCAGAACCCTTTCAGCAAAGAAATTCTTCCTCACATCCCATCTCAACTGCCCTGGCCACAACTGGAGCCCATTTCCCCTTGTCCTGTCCCTTGGGCCTTGGTTGAACAGACCCACCCCCCACCTCTCTCCACCCTCCTCCAAGGGACTTGCACAGAGCCACAAGGTCTCCCCTCAGCCTCCTTTTCTCCAGGCTCAACACCCCCAGTTCCCTCAGCCACAAGGGAACTCAGCACACTTGTGCTCCAGACCCTTCCCAGCTCCGTTGCCCTTCTCTGGACACGCTCCAGCACCTCCATGTCCTTCTTGGACTCAGGGGCCCAAAACTAAAATGGCACTCACCCTTAATTAACTTCAGACGTGCATGGGAGATGTTTACATCCCTTCAGCCAGTTCAGCAGTTGCACAGGTCACACTTCAGTTTGGCATTAAAAGGACAAACAGCATCTTCAGCAACAGATAACCCGGTTTAAACACTTTATTCAGAACCATAGAATGGTTTGGGTTGGAAGGGACCCTAAAGCTCATCTCCAGTTCCAACCCCCCTGCCAGCAGCAGGGACACCTTCCACTAGACCAGGTTGCTCAAAGCCTCATCCAGCCTGGCCGAGAACACTTCCAGGGAGGAGCAGCCACAGCTTCTCTGGCCAACCTGGGACACTGGCTCACCACCCTCACAGTGAAGAACATCTTCCTAATATCTCATCTAAACCTCCCCTCTTTCAGTTTAAACCCATTTCCCCTTGTTTTGTCATTAACTGCCCTTATGAAAAGTCCCTCCCCAGCTTTCTTGTAGCCCCTTCAGGTATTGGAAGGCCGCTAGAAGGTCTCCCCAGAGCCTCCCTCCCTACTCTAATAGTTCAAGTCACTGTGCAACTGTGATGCAGAAAGCACTGATCTGCTGTAGGCCATTAAGAAAAAAAACAAAAAACAAAAAAAACTCCTTCATGAGTAGCATGGCTTTATTGGAAATAAATCATGCTAAAAAAACAATCCTTAAAAAGTACAAAAAAAAAAAAAATCAACAGATAAGGAAAGGAGGAGGAGAAAGACTGGACGCAATATTAAGACCAAGGTGTGAACTGAAGACTGCTGTGAAAGATCATACAAAAAAAGGCGATGAGGAATAGTAATGCAGCATTAAAGGTGGGAGTACAGGTCAGACAAGAGCTACAATACATCCTGCTTCAATATTTCTTATCCATGTACTTTGTTCAAATACTGTAACAGTAACGGAAAGCCAAGAGCACCAGACATCTGACAAGGAGAAAAAGGAACACAAAATCAGGAAAAAGTGAAAGCTGGTAACTAGGGGAGGAATAATCTCAAATACAGTTACTCAACAGAAACACAACACTTGGAAAAGCTGCTCTGTCAACAGATACGGACAATACCGTTATTCCAGCTTTATGGACATTGTTTTCCTGGTCTGTAACCTCTTCCACACACAGTACTGCTGAGGTTATCCTTAGAGGTGTGGGGGGAGACACTGCATACACACAACAAAGCAGCAGGGTCGAGGAGGAAAACAGGAGGAACTGATTCCCATTGAATTAGAAAAGCCATGATTAGGAGACCATGTAAGGTGGGACAGAGCATCACTAAGCCCTAAACATCCAATTCCAGTTAGGTGGGAACGCTGTGCAGCTACAGGTTTTGTCTTCCAACAAGCCAAGCCTACCCCCATGGCAAGTCAGCATGTGGTATTCCCAAACAGAATACAGCAGCTCCTGCCGTGAGACGAGCCATGAGCAAGAGATCCTGGAAAATAATCCTGCACTGGAGAAATTCCTACTGTGTCTCCTTACAGCTGCCATAGAACACACACACTTCACTTCATCATTGGGTGAAGGCTGGCAGTTTCAAAGAGGGCTACCAAGGACTTTATAATCTAAATTTGAGTTTATTGGTTTGGTTGGTTTTTTTTCTATCGCCTCTTAAAAGTTATCAAACCAGAAATTCGACTATAGCTTGACTGTGCATAATACGGAGGTTTTGGTCCCAATTCTGACATGATAGCGCAGAGATTGTGTGATGCAGGGTTTGCATAGATTGTTTGTCTCTTCCCCAGCCTAAAGAACATGAAGAGGAAGCAAGTCACAGCTTAGGATTTTGTTGCATTTGTGAAAAACATGAAATCAAGAGGTTAAAAAAAAAAATAATTAAAAAAATCAATCCCATTTACAGAGGCTTCCCCTACATCCCCAGGTGAGGGGGAAGCGGGGAACGAGAGACTAGTCATGGCTATTTTCACAAAGCTTCATTGTGTTACATGAAGTTTATTACAGGCCCCAGTGAAAATATTAAAAACCCACTAATGCATACACTCCTGCACCTTTGTCCAAGCTGTTGCTGTTCTAAGAGTGGTTAAGTGCCTTTTTCTTTTTTTTTTTTTAATTAAAAAAAGTTTTTGTTTGTTTTTACATTATTGCTGTGGTTTACAACAGAATTAAAAAACAAACAAACAAACAAACAAACATTTGTGGAAATCTACCCAGCAATAAAAAGTCAGTTTCCCAAGAACACGCCAAAGCATGTTCTGAAGGGGCCTTTTCTATACCAGCTATTTAATGAGCAAGGAAAAAAAAAATAATAATAATTAAAAAAAAAAAATCTATCACTTCCGTTCCTAGTGTAGATTAATTTACTCCATTTTCCAGAAGGCAAATCCTTTCAATAAATATCAGAATAACTTCTGAGATGCTGAAGTTCCAGAGAGAGAAGCAGCAGCTCTGTGCAACGTCTCCCAGAGTCCAGTGCTGCCCCGTGTGTTTCAGTCCAGCGAGATGATGTCGGGAGCGGCGCCTCCGCTGCTGGTTATCACTCCTGTCTCACTCCGGCCGGAGGAGCTAACGTGCGTGCTGCTCTCGTGGTGGCTGGTGGATGTGATGATGCTGCCAGGCGTGCTGCTTGTTAAGGTTGAGGTGAGACTATCCAAAAACATAGGAGGACAGTACTGCTTGAAACAAACAATGAAGAATGAAGAGACTAACTGCACGAGGGAAATGTATGCTCTGAAGATACATCTTCCCTACAACAAGCACAGAAGACGTTACTAGCAGGACCTTGTTCACACACACACAGCAAGAACTGGAGTTCTGCTAACCAGTAAGGAAGCAGGTGGAGCTGGTAGCCACCATCCCTCCTCCCTCATCCTCCCCCTTTGTTTTTCCCCCTTATTAACTAGTTAGCTTGAGCATTGACTACTGCACTGAGAAACACTACCATGGCCACATGACGATGACAAGAAAAAACCCAATCCTTGGCATCTGGAGAATGTTCACTGCCCATAGCTACTGGGCACAACTGCCTATTTCAGGCTCCTTTCATCACGAAAGGTAGCGAAATGCTTTTTGCTGTTCTGATGGAGGTGAGAATAATGTCATCCCCTCAAATGGCAGCAGCTGTACTAACCAACATTTTCATGGTATATACGTGCAGTGCATCTTAGCAGCGATAAATGAGCCCTGATCGAGTCTGATTAAGAAAAATTACTAAGCTGGTTTCAACTTCCTGAAGTGGAAGACAAGCCTTCTCAAAACAGAGCTAAACATTTTAAACATCTCAAAGCTGAACAAGGTTGCCAGGTGTCAAAGAGGATGATACAAGACACCCCCACACGCGTGGGCACCCACATGTTGTTAAACACATCGTACTTTCTCTTGGGCATACGTTTGGAACTGAGCCTGAACTGTTTGAACTGCCCAGAGCGGACACTTCACAGCAGCACAGACCTGCTTCCTATCTCCCACACGAACAAAGTTCTGTGATTCCCACTTTTGGCAGTTCAGATCCCGAGGTCAGGCACAAAAAACTGCCAGATGCAGTAAGTGGAAAGGAAAGGAGGTTGTTCACCCTTTGTTTTTAAGGCACCAGTAAGTCAGCTCTAGTACAGAGTCCTATTCCTGTTGTCTTCTGGTGACAGAAACAGAGGGGCTGCTTCAGATCCTCTTGTCTTGGTGAGGAAGCCAATATTCCCCCACCTTTCAACGCTGCAGTCTGGTTGTGTAAGAATCTAGTTCGACTATGAGTCATTCTCCCCAGCTGTGTAAAGTGTAAGTTTCCAGGGAAGGAAAAGCACTGCCTCGTTACTTCTGACCTACCAAACTTATAGAAACATACAATCACAGAACAGTTTGGGTTGGGAGGGACCTTAAAGCTCAGCCAGTTCCAACCCCCCTGCCAGCACCAGGGACACCTTCCACTAGACCAGGTTGCTCAAAGCCTCATCCAGCCTGGCCTTCAACACTTCCAGGGAGGAGCAGCCACAGATTCTCTGGCCAACCTGTTCCAGTGTCTGACCACCCTCACAGGGAAGAACTTCTTCCT